CGGGGAAAGAGAAATAATCAGAGGTGTGTGGTAAGGTCAACAACACAGTGAGTCTTCAACTTACGAGTCAACTGAGCCCAACATTGAAGTCACTAAGTAAGACATTCATTAAGTGAGCTTGGGCGCTTTTTACTACCTTTTTTTTTTTTTTTGCCATGGTTCTTAAGAGAATCCCTGCAGTTGTTAAATTAGCTGACATGGTTGTGAAGCGAATCTGCATTTCCCTGTTGATTTTACTTGTTGGAAGGTTAAAAATGTAACGGGACACTCCGCAACTGACTCGTATTTATGATGGTCACAGCGTCTCAAAGTCAAGTGATCCTCTTTTGCAACATTTGGAGAAGCAAAGTCAAACTCAGGGGGAAGGCCATTTGAGCTGGCTGGGGAATTCTGGGAGTTGAAGTTCTCCCCTCTTAAAGCATGCTGGCTGGCGGATTCTGGGATTTGAAGTGGGGGGGGGGGGCTCCATTGCAATCGTAAGATGAGGATTACCTGTTATTTTGGGAGAGGCGCAGCCAAATTTGGAAACTTCGACACATCAAGAAAAAGACAAGCAAGAATTCCTCGCTTAAAGACAAGAAGAGGTCAGCTGAACGGCTGCCTGTCCATCCCACGTTTAATTTTTTTTAAAAAAGACATTGTCTACGGTCCAGAGACCAACGGACATGCAGAACGGAGAAAGGTTTTCAAGCAAAGATTTTAAATTTCTCCAGGCCATAGCTGGAGGGAGAGAAAGAGGCTCAGCCCCACTTTACAACGCCTGAAGGCCACATAATCTCCTGGCCTGAAGAGGCACCGAGAGCAGGCGGACTTGCTCAAGGAGAATGGAAACTTCGAATGACGTTCAACACTTCCACAGACAGAGGTTGCATTCGCAGGGGGTTCAAAGAGAGGAGGAGGAAGGACGGACTGTGGGGTCCTTGGTGCTCTCTGAGCTGTGGTTTTCTTGCAAACGTCTCATGACCCAACTGGGGAACATCATCAATGCTAGAAGGGAAGGAGTTTGCAGGGAGGAGGAGAGGAGAGGGAGAGAAGGAGAAGGGGAGAGAGGGGAAAAGAAGAAAGGAAAGAAAGGAAAGAAAGAAGGAAACAGAAGAAAAGAAAAAAGGAGAGAAAGAAAGAAGAGGAGGAGGAGGAAGGACTGGGAGGGGGATCCTTGGTGCTCTCTTGGTGGTTTCCTTGCAGATGTTTCATGACCCAACTGAGGAACGGCATCAGTGCTAGAAGGAAGTGGGGTTTATGGAGAGGAGGAGGAGGAAGAGGAGGAGGAGGAGGGGAAGGAAATAGACAAAGAGGGAGAAGGAGAAGACAGAGGAGAAGAGGAGGAAGTTATCAAAACGGTGCCTCCTTTAGCCACAGAAATGTCAGGCTCCATTGCGGTCATTAATTCAAGGATTCCCTGGAACAGAAAGGGCGGTGAGCTAAAACGTTGGAAATTATATATATTCTGTTTTCTTTGTTGAAAATCCAGGTATTTGTGATCCACAGGCCAACACAAAAAAAACCTACACAACCCCCAACATCGCAAAGGACAACTTCAATGCCGCAAGGGACACCTGACCTAAAAATGAAAATGCAAAAATAAAAAAAATGAATGAGGGCTTGGCAGTCGGGAAGTGTCCCAGGGGCTCATTTGAAAATCGAGGCCAAATTGAAAGACAAATTCTATCCGGAGAAGTTTCTGGGATCAGATGACCTACAAGATATCCTGTCCGAATCTGTAAATCTGATTTATGTTGAGAAACATTTGTGTGTGTGTGTGTGTGTGTGTGTGTGTGTGTGTGTGTGTGGGGAGGGGTGAATGTTGAATTTTGGTGAATTTGTCTTGGTGGTGAATTTTGTATTTTGGGAAAATTTGTGGGGAGTAAATTTGAATTTGGGGGAATTTTAGGGGTGGGTGTGAACTTTTTATTTTAGTGAATATTTTGGGGGCAAAATTTGAAGTTTTGCGCAATTCCTCCCCGATGACTGTCATACATATATTTTTAAAAATGCCATTTCCTTTGCAAATTTTCATTTCGAATAAGCTGAGCGTCAAAATGTCCTAGGAAAGGCAAATGTGTTGCTTTATTTGTGGGTCCACCACAATAGACTTGACAGGAAGCTTGAAGAAGCTATCTGTCTGTCTATATCTATCCATTCATCTATCGTTTCTATCCCTAATCTATATATCCATATCTATCCATATTCATCTATCCAGCCATCTATAAAATCTACACCTACCTATGTCTCTCTAATCTAGATCTATCTATCATCTATCTAATCTATCTCTAATCTAGCCATCTAGCCATCTCTAATCTATACTTATCTCTCTATATATATCTATCTCTAATATATATCGATCTATCTCTCTAAACTACATCTATTTAATCTATCACTAATCCATGCATCTCTATCTATCCATCTCTATCTATCTAGCTCTAATCTATATCTATTGATCCATCCATCTCTCTCTCTCTCTCTCTTTCTTTTCTAGTTTTTGAAAGAAGACACTACAATATTTTAGATTTTCTGAGGTTGAGATGGGTCTAGTTCTGAGTTATTTCTCAAAATAATAGAAATAAACATATTCTAGACTTTCTAACCACAACAGATGCTTCCCAAAAATGACAGTACCAGCATCACCGTCAATCAACGTCCAATGCCCGGCAACCGACTCAAAGTTACAACGGTTGCAACATCCCGCAATCTCTTTTTTTGTGACCTTCTGAAGGGCAAAGTCGACGGGCGAAGAGCTTGATTCACTTACTGTCTGACTAACTTTAGCAGTGGCACGGATTTGCCAAACCCGTGTGGGAGGAAAGGTCGTAAAACAGGGTAAGGTTCACTTAACGATGGTCTCGATTGGCCACAGAAGTGGGAGCCAAGCCCCTGCGGCACAAAGCAGAGCCCCCTCCCGAAATAAACCCTACCCGGAGGCCAGCAAAAGAGAGGGGGGGCAGAATGAGAATGAGAGAGACAGAGAAGAGAGTGAGACAGCATAAGAAAGAAGAAGAGGAAGAGGAAGAAAGAAGGAGAAAGAGAGAGAGAGAGAGAAAGTCAAAGAAACAGAATGAGAGAAACAGGGAGAGAGAATGGAAGAATGAGGGAGAGAAACAGAGGGAAAGAGACAAAAAGAAAGAATGAGAATGAGACAACAAGGGGGAGAGAGAAATAGAGAAACAGAAGGAGAGAGTGAGGGAGTGAGAAAGAAAGAGAACTCTCTAGTGGATCACCATTTGGATGGGCTCTGTAGTCCAAAGCCAGTGAGGATTGACTCAATCACAGTTTGGGCGGATGGGCTCTGTTGTCCGAAGTCGTTGTGGATAGACTCTCTACCTAGCGGATCACCATTTGGGAGGATGGGTTCCGTAGTCCAAAGCCATTCTAGTCTCGTGGATCGCTCTTTTGGAAGATGGGCTCTGTAGTCCGAAGTCTTTGAGGATAGACTCTCTAGCGAGGGGATCACAATTTGGGAGGATGGGCTCTGTAGTCCAAAGTAATTCTAGTCTAGTGGATCGCCCTTTTGAAAGATGGGCTCTGTAGTCCGAAGACACCGCCTTCAGGGGGGGGGGTTCTTCCCCCTCCACTCCCGACAAACAAGCCCCTCCCCCATGAACAAGCCCCTCCCCTTCGCCCAGAAGCCACGCCCCTCTCACCTTTTTGCCCCTCTTTCCTTCCTCCTCCATGTCTCAGGTGGGGCCCGGAGGCATCTTCCCCGCCGGGCTCCCCTCGGCCTTCACTGCCCCGCCATCGCCGCCTTCGGGGGGATCCCCAGAGGCTTCAAGCCGAGAGCGAAAAAGCGCCGCCGCCGCTCCGGCTCCAACTTTTCAATCCTACCGCCATCTTGGGCGTCGGCGGCGTTTCCCGGCGTGCTCCGCGCGCGCCCCATTCCTTCCCTTCCCTCTCCTTCACGTTCGGCTCCGGGGAGGACTGACGTCAGTCCTCCCCGGAGGAGATGAGAGGAAAGCGGAACCGGCTTGGTCGGACGCCCCGAGGAGCATGAACGGAAGACTTATTCACGAACAGGCGAAGATAGATCGATGAAAATAAGAGAAATGTTCCGGTGTAGTATAGAAATATATTCCAAAGATATGGATCTATGAAATAATAGAAAGGTTCCGGAATAGTATAAACATTATTAAAGGAGAATAGTATTCAAGGATCTTCAAACTTGGCAAGTTTAAGACTTGTGGATTTCAACTCCCAGAATTTCTGAGCTAACATGATGCATCCGAACACATAGAGCTATGAAATTATAGAAAGGTTCCAAGACTATAAATATTTATCCGATACATAGATCTATGAATTTAATAGAAAGATTCCTGGTAGCATAACATTCAACCGACGATGTAGATCTATGAAATTATAGAAAACGTCCGGTGGCATAGACCTCTTTATTCAACAACAGGAATTAAATCTATAGTAGCTCCTCAGAGGACATTAATATTTAGAGTTATAGCAAATAATAGCAAATAATATAATAAGGAAAATGACCTTGCTAAAAGTATTGTTGTGTTGCTACTGTTATTGTTACTATTGTTTTGTCGTTGTTTGCGGTTATTATTTTATTATTATCTTGTCTGTTCTCTATGAAGTGCAACTTCAGACCGGAAGTAATAAGTCCGTCCTACCCCCCCCCCCCCTTCTTGGTCCCATCACTTGGAGGCCGAATCCCGATCGTGACAGGTTGGACGCCTGGTTCAATCCTCCAAGGCGGGGGGGGGGGGAACTACATGCTCATTGAGGGCGTCAAGGAAACCCGGAAATGGTAAGGTTCTCTTGAACCCGCCCTCTCCAATCGTTGATTTGGTTGGACGCCTAAGTCATGCGCCTAAAGGCGAGAGGAAAAAAAAACACACTATAGGCACCTTGGGGGCGGGGCGTGTTACGCTGCCCCCTCTTGGCCTCGCCCCTTCGAGTCGGGATTGGTCAATAGACGGGACTGGTTCTAATTCGAGCGCGGGAGGAAAAGCTGGAAGCCCATTGAGCGCGAGACGGTCACGGGCGCAGAAGGGGCGGAGCGAGGGAAGGTCTCGCCGAGGGAAGAAGACATGGCGAGAGGAGCCAGGCGGAAGGCCTGCAATCGTGGATCCGCCTCCATCCGAAGCGGAGAAGAGCGTTGGAGGCTGCCGGCCTCGGTGCGGCCAAGCGGGTGAGTTTCTGGCGGGATCGCGGGAAGGGACTCTTGACGCCGGACTACATAATCCGCAGCAGACCACGTGGCGCCGTTGCCCGGGCTTTGGACTTCTCTTCGGGCTTCTTGGAGCTTCTCTAGACCGAGGCGGGTGGCCACGTGGCCTGGAAGAGAGAGAGAGAGAGACAGAGAACTCACTGAGGACTTGTGACTTCACCGTCTCGGTTAAAAAGGAAGCTTATAGGCAGAAGGTTTGGAAGCCACTCGCGGAACGAGTAGATCGTTGTGCATGTCTATCTTAATCCACGGATCTTCGAACTTGACAGCTTTAAGGCTTGTGGACTTCAACTCCCAGAACTCCTGAGCTAACATGACTGGAGGAAAAGGAATTCTGGGGGTTGAAGTCCACAAGTCTTAAAGCTGTCAAGCTCGAAGGCCCCTCCTCTAGTCCATCCATCCACATCTGTCATGTAAGTATCTATCCATCCATACCTCTCATCTAATTATCCAACCATCTATATCAGTCTATCATCCGTCTATATCCATATCTAATCTATCAATTTACCTAATCCATATATTATCTATTCATCTATATCTGTCTATCCATATCTGATCTAATTTATTGCACCCAATATCTCTTATCTATTGCTTACCTAATCTATCCATCCTCTTTTTCCATCCATTAACTATCTTTAATGTATCTATCCATCCATTCATCTATATTATCTATCCATTTATATATCTATGTATAGCACCCAATACCTTATCTATTATCTAATCTTATCCATCCATCATCTATATCTAATGTATCCATTTATTCATCTACCGTTTTTCTCACAAAATAAGACAGGGCCTTATTTTTTTTTGACCCCCGAAAAACCGGCTAGGCCGTCTTTTCGGGGGTGACTTAATTTCTCCCCACCCCGCATCCTCGGGTGGGCAGGCGGCGACAGCTTGGATGTTCGGGAGACCTTCCGCCACAGTTGCTTTCCCTTCTCCCTTGCTGCCGCGGCGTTACAGCAACGCCGTGGCGTTTGGCGCAGCTACGTGCGGCCAGTCAGGGCTCCTCCCTGCAACCGGAGCCCTGAGGAGACACTTGGCTTCAGGCGCTCCTGTCGCCGCCTTCCCTTTGCCTTCGAAGGTAAAGGGAATTATTTTAAAAACCTCCACTCATCCCACCAGGGCCGCGCCGGAGCCGTGTGGGCTGGGCAGAGCCGGGAAACACCTGCGGGTCGCTTTCCCAGCTCTGCCCAGCCCGCACGGCTCCGGCGTGGCCCTGGCGGGATGAGCGGAGGGCCCGGCGCGGATGCCCTTGCTCTCTGAATGCAAGCGGTACTGCCGGACAGGAGGGCCCGCCTGTCAGCTGTGCTGGGCGCCCCAGGCGAAGTTCTTCGCGCTCTGCCCAGCGCCAGGCAGGGATGGCGGCTGGGCGCTTCTCCCGAGGTGGGTCGATCCTGCGCTGCGGCCCCGGGAGATTCGCCTCCCCACGTGGGGTTGGGCTGCCCTCTCGGGCAGGGGAGGCTTTGTAGTAGTAGGGTGTCGTTTTTAAAATAATTCCCTTTACCTTCGAAGGCAAAGGGAAGGCGGCGACAGGAGCGCCTGAAGCCGAGTGTCTCCTCAGGGCTCCGGTTGCAGGGAGGAGCCCTGACTGGCCGCACGTGGCTGCGCCAAACGCCACGGCAGCAAGGGAGAAGGGAAAGGAACGGTGGCGGAAGGTCTCCTGATATGAAGTGCCCCACCAACGCAGGCAGCACTATATCCGGGCATGCAACAAAAGTACTTCCTAAAGGCAAGCCACCACCACCCCCACTCCCCCCCCATATCGGCCTTAATTTGGGGGGAGGGGCTTAATTTGGTTTTATGCCAATAAAACATGGTGGGGCTTCCTATTGGTGGAGGCCGTATTGTTGGAGAAACAAGGTATATTATCTATATTTATATCTAATCTATATTGCACTCAATATCTATCTTACCTATCTCTTCTATAATCGATTCATCCGTCTATCAATTTCTATTTTATGTAATCCATCCGTCTGTGTTTATTATCCATATCTATATCCATATCTATATCTGCTCTATATTCATCATCTCTATATATATTTTATTTAATATTTGCATCTAATCTATTGATATAGAGATACGTATGGATACAAATATATCTTTCTCCTCCTCGTATATTTTATCTTCTATATATACAAAAGTGAAATACCACCCACGCATCATCCTAAAATCTCCAGAACCGTCAAGCCTACAAATTTGAAATTTGTCCTGGATGTTCCTCTTGGCTTCTAGGGGTTCACTAAGAAAGGATTTTTCAAAAGGACCCTCGGATCATTAGTATTTCCTTAGTATTTCTTCTACAGCAATTAACACGCGCTGATGCTAAGGAGTTCTACTCCCCCTCCCCACCTGAAAAGAAATCTGTTCCAAATGCAAAACACAAGCAGAGGAGAGGAGTTTCAGTTTCAGAGCAGCAAGCAGCTTTAGTACAGAACAGTTGAGCTAAACCATGGCCAGGCTCCTTGCTGTCTCCTCGCTCACATAGCAAATACAGTTTCAGTTTCCAAGCAGCTCTCAACTCTCTCACACACTGACAGGATGCTAGCCAGATGAATAGCAGCGGAGGCTGATAGGCAGAGGCAGAATTTTCTTTTCCTTATTTTCTTCCCCAAAAACTAAGCCTGACCACATTGTTTCGTAGCAAAGCACAGGTATCCAGCTGGTATATGGATATTTTTATACACCTACTGATAGATATTACCGGTAGATATTAGGCATACTGATAGATATTACACATATGTGTATGTACATATATATGTAGTATCTATTGGTATCTATCATGCACATTTTACATATGTTTATGCACATACATAGACAGTGCATAGCGTGGTAATGTTGTGTTCTTTTTCCCATTTGTGTACAGGGACCCCTTGGCTTCACCAAACACCATTGGTACCCGAATTTCTGTCGCCGAGCCCATCGGTCGCTAAATGAGCCTCACCTAATTTTTGACCTAGATTATGTTAAGTGAATCCGTGCGAACCCGGCTCTGTCTATGGGAAGGTCGTAAATGGGGATTGCGGGATGCCATAACAGTTTTGCTGAGCCCTCGAATTTGGACTACGGGGACGCCACACGACCGTTGTAAGTGCGAGGAACTCCTCACAAGTCGCTTGGTTCCAGGGCCGTTTTAACTTCCAACGGACGCTAAATGAATGTTAACGTCCGAGGGTAGTTGTATTTTTACCTGAGCTGGTTCTTTTCCGAGGGGGGGGGGGGGGGCTTTTAGAACGAACTTGACAATAATGCCGAAAATTATGCTGCCGCAGGGTGTGCATTGCAAACCACAACCCTTGGCGAACAAAATTTGCATTTGTGGGTCTTTCTCTGCCTTTTTCTCGGGTTGTCTTCCTTAATGTTTGGGACAATTGGATTTTTCTAAGAGTTGCTGAACTGGGGAGTAGGATTCGCATCCGCGTTGGAAGCTGTCGCAACAATGCAAACCTTCCAGCGTGACTGGGTCTTGCCGATGACCCTGATCATTCCTGTTGTGTTTGCAAAAACAACCCCGGGACGGTTTGAGGCCTCCCCCTGTCCTCTTTCAGGGAGAGGTTATAGAAATCCCGGACAAGAGATAGTCCTCGTCTTACGACTGAATTCCTGTCGCTAAGCGAGACATGATTCCTCCCCTCCTTTTTTGCGACTGTTCCTGCTGCAGTCACTAAGCGAATCCCTGCAGTTGTAAGGAGCTAGGCTTCGCCATTGACTGAAGGTTGCAGGAGGGAATCAGGTGACACTCCGCCCTCCCAGGACGCAGGGACTGTCGTAAATATGAGTCAGTTGCCAAGGATCTGGGTTTAGATCAGATTACCCTGGGAAACTGACCGTCGTAAATACGAGCCACTTGCTGCAGTGGTTGTGCGGAAAATGGTCGCAAGCCCAGTTTTGCATTGCCGTTGCAGCCACTGTTTTGTGTTTATGATGGTCACTAAACGAGGACTAATGCCATTCACCCCAGAGTTATTTCTTCCTTATAACTGGAGTTCTCTTTCTCCCGTCTAGGAGAATCTAACCGTCTCTCCTCACCATGGTGCTTGTCCCGTTGAAGGTGAGGTAGGGGATGCCAATTACCATCATCCCTGGCCCTTCTAGTCCTTCCTCGGGTAAGGCCCAGTGGGATTGGGGGGGTTCGAAAACATTGATCCCTAATTTTGCTCGACATTTTAAATTGACCTTATTGGGTAGTCCCTGACTTACAACCTACCTGGAGCCTGGAATTATGCTCGCAAGCAAGTTGGGGGTGGGGGGTGAGCTGCTACCGGTTCACCCTGGTTTGACCGAACCGGTTGCTGGTTTTATGGCCAGTCCGGCAAACTGGTAAATCTCACCCTTGGCTGGCCCCGCCCATCCCACCCCTCCCAGGTAAGTACGTGGCCTTCAGGGAGGGCAAAAAAAAACAATCCCACCCCTGGTCGTAAGTCGAGGCGTCATGTCACCAGATTTGATTTTTCTCTCTCTCTCTTTTTTTTTTGCAGGCGACCATCGTGGGGCAAAAAAAATGTCAGAACAGTCTGGTTTTTTTTCCTCGCGGGCAGCTCGTTTTTCTAAACATACTTTCTATTCACGTGTGGAGGCAGCCTTCAAAATGGGCTAAATACCTGTACGCTGTATTTACATAAATAACGCAGGCATAGGATATAGGTGGGTCTCGATTTACATCAATAAACATCCGTAGAGCATCCGCAATTTGCAGTCCAGCGACTGCTGGACCTTACAACAGGCCCGGGGGGGGGGGGGGGAAGGTCAGGGGTGGGGCGGGGAGCATACGGGCCCCGGGGGGGGGCGAACACGGCGGCGATCTTGGTTGTAAGGGCCACTCGCTCAGCGTCGTTGGGAGTTGGCTTTCTCTGAAGTTGCGTTTGTCACTTGAGGATGGTTAGGTTGGACAAGCCAGCATTCACGGTTTGGCTCTGTATGTCACCCGTGATCACAGGTAAAACATTTTGCTCCTGTCGGACGGCAGGTGGGTGGACTCCAACTCCCAGAATCCCCCAGCCGGCATGCTGTAAGAGGGGAGGACTTCAACCAGACGTGCCTTTCTTGGGCTCAAGTCCACCTTATCTAATTTTATTTTTTTGCTTGGAAACAGGAACATGATAAACGCTTAAAACACGTACAAAAACGTCGCTTCCTTCCGGTTGCACAGATGTTTGACCGTGTTTCACGGCAGAAGTGAAACTTTCTGGACCCAAAATAATAATATGGAAGGGGTAGGGGGAAATCTCGCCTGGTAGATAGTTTTAAAAGAGATATTTATATATATATATATGCACGCGCACGCACACACACACAGGTACAAATATATATAATATATAATTAATCATATTTGTGTTAAATTGTCCTTGAATAATTTGGTGTGTGATGGGGGTGGGAAGTGACAAAGGGTCATTAGGATTGGAAACCAGAATCGGTGCAGGGGGTGAAATGTTGGCGTAGAAACCGGGAGACGAGTTCCAGTCCCTCCTTAGGCAGGAAAGCCAGCCTTTGGGGTGGGGGCTTTAGGCCAGAGCCCAGCCTACCTGGCAGGATTGTTGTGGGGGAAAAGGGCAAAGGCTTACTACACACCTTCATCATCTTGAGTAAAGTGCATAATAAAGGCAGAGCTCCACATAGTAAAGGCAGAGTAAAAACAGATGTGAATAAATGTGGATTTATACAGTTCCTCGCTCTCGTCCCCTAGGTCTCTCGGCCTGTTGGGCTGGGGGCCCTTAGTGCCCATCATCCACACCCCGTGCCTCTCGCCCGAAGAGGAAGCAAGTCGGTGGCCGTCCCGCCCACTGGCCTCCGTTCTGAGTCACTTGCAGGAGGCCGTCGAGAGGGAGGAAGTTTGCGGTCATCCGACAACGGAAGGTTTCTTGGGAGAAAAAAAAAGGATGATGAAGACCATGCTTCCCTTCCGGCCCCTTGGAGGGGGGGGGGCAGGATGGGTTTTGCTGCTCCTTCAAGTGGGGGCTTCTGGAAGGAGATGTAAGTCATTGGGTGCCTCTCCCTTTCTCCCCCACCAAACAGGATGACAGAATAAAGCTGGAAGGGGGGCCTCAGAGGTCATCTAGTCCAACCCCCTGCTCGACCAGGAGAACCTTTAAAGTATAACACAGTTGGGAAGGGATCTGAGAGGTTATCCAGTCCATCCCGCACTCAAGCAGGAGACCCTTACAGAATCACACACTAGCAGAGATGGAGGTCATCTAGTCCAACTCCCCTCCAAAAAAGAAACAGGAGACCCTGATAGAATAATGCAAGGGACCTGGGAGGTCATTTAGTCCAACCCCTGCTCAAGCTGGAGGCCCTGGACCGTTTCTGGCAGGGACCATTTTCTGAAGAATAAATGATTCCCCGCCTGAGCCCGCACTGCCTTCCTTCCCTTCCCAGGATCGGCAAAAAGAAAGAACCAGCTAGTCCTCAGTTTTACGACCACACCGTAGATCCAAAATTTCCGCAGCTGCGGGTCTGATTTGAGTTTTGATCCATTTTGCGACCTTCCCATTAAGTGAACCACTGCTGTTCAGCGAGCCACCTGGTGGCTAAGTGAATCCAGCTTCCTGCCCGTTGAGCCGGTCACAAAAGGGGATCGCAGTGACCATCATAAATTGGAGTCGTTGGCCAAGTCTCTGAATTTGTGGATGCTGCAACAGTCGTAAGAGTGAAAAAACGCTCAACTCACTTTTTGAGCACCCTTGTAACTTGTTTAGAGATAATCCTCGACTTAACAATGATTCATTGATTGTGCCAAATCCGACATCCCATCATTTCAATCTGGATTGTAAATAGAAGTTGTCCTCCGCTTAACAATGGAAGCTATAACGGAACTGGAAGAAAGACGTAGAGGTCATCTAGTCCAACCCCCTGCTCAAGCAAGAGGCCCTTGCAGAATCATACTAGCAGAGGTGCACGGGACCTTGGAGGCCATCTAGTCCAACCCACCCACTCCAAAAGGAGACCCTTACAGATTCATAGAATAATGCAAGGGACCTTGGAGGTCATATAGTCCAACCCCCTGCAGGAGGCCCTTACAGAACCATGGGATAACGGGATTGGAAGGGATCTTGGAGGTCATCTCCACCCCCAAGTGTTTGGAACATCTTGGTTATCCGTCCAGTAACCACCTCCAGAAGGATTTGTTTAATTTAGAAATTAATTTCTTTGTGTGTGTTGGGGGGGTCGGTTATTTCCAGTTGCTCTCCAGGTGTGCATGGGGGGGGGGGCGGTTCAGTCTGCCAAGGCTCCACCTTCAAAGCCTCCGTAACCCATGTGCTCCAGCTGCCGGTTAGCTCCCCTCCCGAGCCTGAGAAAGGAAATGACGTTGCCCCCACCGCAAAAGCCAAACCTCACAAGTTGTGGCAAAACACGGAGGAAGAAGGGCAGGGCTTGTCTTTGAGGCCCAGGCTCAGAATTGGAGGTCTGGAAATAAACGGGATGCCCACCAAAGACAAGATTTATAGCTCAGGGTAGAACTGGGGGGGCTTCTCTGAGCTGGGAGGGGGCTGTCAACTGAATTGTTTCAATGGTCTTTTTAGAGCTGCCAACAGAAAGGAAGGGGGGGGGAGAGTGTTTGAAAGAGCAGTGTGGCAGCTTGGAAACCGAAAGTGCATTCCATGAATAGTTTTTCAGAGATAGTAACTAGGTGACTGAAGATTCTGCCAGCAAAATTCTAATTGGAGCAATATGATTGATGACTCTGGGCTATGGACTTGTCCCATTGGAGAATATGAATTATGATATACCCATGAGGTGGGGAAAACCAGGGTCAAGGGTGACAATGAATTATGTCTCAGAGTTGGCTATACCCAGGCACTGCCAGACATGTAAACTCCCAATAAACCCTTTTGAAGTTTGGCTCAAGATTCATGATTTCATTAGGGTAACTGCCAGAAACCTGACAGGGTTTTTTTTTTTTTTGCAGACGTCTTGTGACCCAAGTAGGGAACATCAGTGCTGGAAGGGAATGTGGACTGCAGAAAGGAGAAGATTTCTGTCATGTCCTTGGTGCTCTCTGAGCTGGGTGGTTTCCTTGCAGACGTCTCATGACCCAACTAGGGAACAGCATCAATGATCCTATGGGAAGGAGTGCAGAAAGGAGGAGGAAGTGGAGATGCTGCTTTCTGTTTGACAAAGCAATGACATCCCAGGATTACACAAATGCCAAACTCGGGGGTGGGTGGGTTGTGTGTTTGTGTGGAAGTGGTTGTGAGGGAAAGATGGGCTGGATGTGGTCTCTAAGACCTGCCAACAATGGAGAAATCGAGGAAGCGATGGAGTCTGTTCCTGTTGGGTTGTGGTAGGATGCTGCACCCTCCTACTTCAGTGCGGGAAACCTGGTTGTGGGTTCCGTCTCATGGCGTTGAGCTTCCTGTCCCACCTGACTAAGTTCCTCCATCTTGAAGCCACGATGAAGAGGAAACCAAGGAGACATTTCAGATGGGTGTCTGGGTTCCGATGGACGCCCTAATTAATTCATGAGCCTCGAGCCAAGTTTAGAAAGAAATGCAATTATTTATTAGGAGCAACATGTCGAAGCACTCTCCCTGGCTGTAGTACAGGCTTGTCCAACCCGCGGCCCACGGGCCGCATGCGGCCCAGGTTGCCTCGTAATGCGGCCCAACGCCCACCCCAACCTTCATGAAAGATCCAGCGAGGAGGAGGAGGAGAGGCAGGCGTGAGGCGGGGCGAGGCGAGCAACAGAAAAGGCGGGCAGCCGCAGCCCAAAAGTCCCGCCCTGCCACCTCCTGCTGCTGCCGCCACCGCTGCTGCTTCTGCCCCCGCCACCGCTGCCACTGCTGCTGCATTTGCAGGAGGAGAGGTAGGCGTGAGGCGGGCGAGCTTTCTTCCCCCCCACCCCGCAAAATTTGGCCAGAAAATTATAAAACAAAAAATAAATAATTTTTAATTAATATTTATTTTATTATTATTTTAATTTAATTAATTTAATTTAATTTATTAATTTAATTTAATTTATTATTTTATTTAATTATGTGCGGCCCAAACCAAATGTTCATCTTCTAATGTGGCCCAGGGAAGGTGAAAGGTTGGACACCCCTGCCGTAGTAGAAAGCACACCTCTCCAGCTGGCTCTAGTAATCTGGGATACAATCTGGAGAAAGGTATGCGTGGAATGTGCTTCTTCCATCAGTTCACCACCACCACCTCCCCCACCCTGCCTATGGCAACTCAAGAGCAGGCTAGGAACGCTTTATGAGTTGACTGGGACTTTCCATGTTTCGGACTTGACGTCCATCGTTCAAGGAAAAATCTTTTCATCCCAACTTCCAAATTTACAATGGGTGGAAACAGGCCATAGTTGAGGTCTGGAGCAAGTCAGAAGTGACTGAGCCACGGAAGTCCCATTCCTGGACCTCTTCATAGCTTCGCTGTCTCTGGAGGACATGAGATGCCTTCTCTGAAGTTCTCCAACTTCTCCAGGGTTTAGGTTTAGGTTCTCTGTGGAGGACTTTGGGACCGTCTTGTCCAGAAAGATCCATCCATCCTATAAGATCTATTCTGTTGAGGACATTAGATCCTATAAGATCCATTCTCTGGAGGACATTCTCTGGTGGTCTCCTGTCAAGTTCTCAAAGTTCTCCAGAGTTTAGGTTGTCTGTGGAGACTTTGAGACTTCTTCTCCAGACGGGTCTATCCATCCATCCTATGAGGTGCATTCTTTGCAGGACATGAGATGCCTTCTTTGATGGTCTCCTATGAAGTTCTCCAGGGTTTAGGGTTTAAGTTTCCCATGGAGGACTTTGGGAGTCCTTCTTCTCCAGGAGAATCCATCCATCCTATAAGATGTATTCTCTGGAGGACATCAGATATCTTCTCTGGTTGTCTCCTAATGAAGTTTTCCAGTGTTAGGGTTTTGCTTTTCCATGATAGACTCCGGGACCACCTCCAGGAGAATCCATCCATCCTATAAGGTCCACCCAATGAGAAACAACGATCGAGGAAGTGGACCTGCCACAAAGCACTTAGCTGTGCTTAACCACAAGCTCCACCTTCCTCCACTCAACGGAAATCACCCAGCTTGACTCACCCTTCTTTCCACACTGACGAGCAAGGACGGTTGTCAGTCCCGGTAAGCAGACACACTTCTCCAGGAACATGGCAGAGCAAGAGAGCCTCGAATTTGGGAAAGCGGACTTTGTCCTCTTGGACGAGGTGACCATGGAGGACTTCCTGGAGAACCTGAAACTGAGGTAAGGTTTGGAAGGGGGAAAGGAAAGGATGGGTCTTATTTCCGAGAAGAAGTCAAGATCATTTGAGGGACTCAAAACATCCAAGTAGATGTTTCTGGACTTCCATAGCCTTGATGGAGATCTTGGTCATTTGATGGCTCCTGAACGGAGGTCCACCATCTTGTTCTTCACAACCTGGAGGCTGGCAGAGTCTTTAGGCTGAAGAGGTGCGGTCCACAGAAGAGGGGAAGTCCACCCTTCCGTCAAACTGAAACTCCTGGGCAACCCCGAGGTTCAAGAATGAAACTGGAAGCCAGTTTGGTCTGGTGGCTAAGAAACTGGCGGCGATGAGTTCTAGTCCTTCCTTAGGCAGGAAAGCCTAACTGGGTGACTTGGGGCCAATAACTGGCAGGTTGTGAGTTCTAGTTCCACCTTAGGGATCACAACCACCTGGGTGACTTTGAGCCAATCACCAGGCGACAGTGAGTTCTAGTCCCGCCTTAAGCAAGAAATCATACTGGGTGACTTTGGGTCTATCACCAGGTGATGAATTCTAGTCCTGCCTTAAGGATGAAAGCCGGCTGAGTGACTCTGATTCAATCACTAGCCGACAGTGAGTTCTAGTCCTGCCTTAGGCATGAAAACCAGCTGGGTGACTTTGGACCAATCACCAGGAGACAGGGAATTCTAATGCTGCTTTAGGCATGAAAGCTGGATTCCAATTCCCAGAATCCCCCAGCCAGCAGAGTTGAAAATGAGTGGATTACAACTCCCAAGAATCCTCCAGCCGGCATACTTTAAGAGGAAGGACTTCAACTCCCAGAATCCCCCATCTGGCATCCTTAAAGAGGGGGAGATGTCTTCAACTCCCATAATTCCCCAGCCACCATGCTTTAAGACAGGAGGACTACAACACCCAAAATCGCCCAACCACCATGCTTTAAGAGGAAGGACTTCAACTCCCATAATCCCCCAGCCAGCCATGCTTTAACATCTCTGGACTTCATGCAGGCAGAGGAATTCTGGGAGTTGAAGTCCTCCCTTCATAATTTAGTCGCTGTACGGCAACTAAACTAACATCGGGTCAACCCTTTTTCCAACCAACCGGGTTTATTCTGCGAGGGGGGGGACAGTCTTGTGAAGCGACACGTCCTTAAGAGGGAGGAAGCTGCTGTTCATGTCGGAGGAAGCAAAAGGCCTGAAATGACTCAAAGTTGTCGCTCATTTTGAAAGCAGGAAAGGCATCATTTGGAGGCCAGCTGTCCTTGCTTCTCGTTTCCATCACCTTTTTTTAATTTGATTTCCTCCTCCCATTTTCATCAACCCTCCTCCCTCATCTCCCCCGTACTGATACGGCGAGTCCTCAATTTAGAACGCTTCGTTTAGTGCCCCAATTTATGACGACGCTGGAAAAAAAAGATTTTTTTTCACACGACCATTTAGTGACAACAGCACCGATTTAAAAAGGAGCATTTTTCACATGACTATCGAGTTGCCAATTGTGGAATTCAAAATATTTTACTGCCGGTTCTCTGGGCACGCCGACTTCTGACCGGCACAACCTGATCGCTTGAACCGGTATGAACCAGCAGCATACCAACACTGGCGGCCACAGGATGAAAATGCAGACGCTTGGGAAACCAACTCGTATTTATGACTGTTGCAATGTCCCCAGGGATACGTGATCCCTTTTGGCGACCGTCCAACAAGCCCGATTGACTTAACAACGGGTGACTAGCTTATCACCTGCCAGGATTCACTTAACAACAGTGGCGAGGAAGGTCGTGCAATGGGGCATAGCTCAATGGACAAATGTCTCACTTAATGACTGAAATTTGGGGCTCGATTGTGGTCATAAGTCAAGGACTGCCTGTAGTCCTCGCTTCATGTCCAGAAATCCCCAAATTTCCATTGCTAAGCAAGAAGGAAGTGCGAAGTGAATGTTGCCCTGTTTTGGGCCACTGTTCTTAAGCGAACAGACAGATGGATGAGTAGATATCACCACTCTACAGCTAGTCCTCACTTAATGTCCACAATTGCGCCCCAAATTTCTGTCACTAAGCAAGAAGGAAGTCCAAAGTGAATGTTGCCCTGTTTTATTACCTTTCTTGCCACCGTTGTTAAGTGAGTGGACAGATGTATATTACCTTTATAAAGGTAATCCTCAAATTTACAACCGCAAATTTCGGAGTCTGGCATTTCCATTGCTGAGCCAGATAAGTTGCTAAATGAGTTTTGCCTCACTTTACGGCCTTTCCTGCCATCATTCTTAACCGAATCCCTGCAGTGGTAATGTTCATCCCATGGTCGTTAAGTGAACCTAATAAAATCCCTGTTGACATTGCTCTTCAGGGATTTGGTGACCGTCATAAATACGAGTCAGTTGCCAAGCTGTCTGAATTTCGAAATGTGCAGGAAATGATTGTAAGTCCTTTTTTCTAAGTGCAGCGGCGACTTTGAACTGTCACTAAATGAATGGTCATAAGTCGAGGATTTCCTGTCTTGTGTAATGGACAGAAGGACTAGGGCAGTGAGGGTGAACCTTTTAGAGACCGAGTGCCCAAACTGCAACCCAAAAGCCACTTATTTTTGTTTGTTTGTTTATTTAATTATTTATTTAACTATTTAATTAATTTATTTATTTAACTATTATTATTTATTAATACCAACATGGCAATTCAACCTGAATAATGAGGTTTTACTACCTAAAATAATGGTTAAACAAGGCTGTGTTCAGCTAATTGTTCCAAAAACAAAACATGAAAAATGCATTTTTATGCCCCTTAGGTTTTTTTTCCTGCTTTTGAAATATTACATTTAGCAACAATAACAAAAACTTTTGTAATATCATTTCTCTCTCCCCATCTCTCTCTCTCTCTCTCTGCGTCTGTCTCTCTCTTTCCCTCTCTCTGTCTCTTTCTCTTTTTCTCTCTCCCTCTCTCTTTCTCTCTCTCTTTTTATCTCTCCCTTTCCCTCCCTCTCTGTCTTTCTCTCTCTCTCTCTCTCTTTTCCTCCCTCTCTTTCTTTGTCTCTCTCCTTTCCTCCCTCCCTCTCTCTCTCTCTCTCCCCCCCTCTCTCTCTGTCTTTCTCTTTTCTTCCCTCCCTCTCTTTCTCTCTCTCTTTCTCTCTCTCCCTTTTCCTCCCTCCCTCTCTCTCTCTCTTTCCCTCCCTCTCTCTCTCTGTCTTCCTCTTTTCCTCCCTCCCTCCCTTTCTCTCTCTCTCTTTGTCTTTCTCTTATCCTCCCTCCCTCCCCTTCTCTCTCTGTGTGTCTCTTTCTCTCTCTGTCTCTCTTTTTCTCTCTCTGCCTCTTTCTCTCTCTCTCACCTCCGGCTGGCGAGAGTGGAGCACACAGGGAATGCCCCTTCCCCGCGGCCACCGTGGTGATGTCACTGGCCAAGAGGGACACACGAGCTGAACGTTTAGAGCCGTACTCGGTAGAGTTTGCAAATGGGCTCAGCGGGGCTGCTTAATGGGGAGGGAAATCCTGGCCTGTTTGGTTCACTTGGGTGTGGGGTGAAAACACAGAAGGCAGAGCAAACCCCATGTCTCCCGGGGTTCAACCCTTAAAGACTCCTTTGCGGGTGACTGGGCAGGGCAGGCAGGGGTGGAATTCTTCTGGTTCGGACTGGTTCCATAGAACTGGTTGTTACAATTCTGTGCAATTCGGAGAATTGGAGAATCATGCCACTGGCTGGCCCTGCCCCTCCCTCCCACCCGCCCCTCCCTCCCACCCGCCCCTCCCCTCCCAGTCACCCCAAAGGAGTCTTTGAGAGGTCAACACTGGGGGCGGGGGGGAGAAGTGGCCTGCGAGCAGAGCTGAACCTTCCTTAGGACTGAAGCTTCTATTTTTCAGTGCAGACTTAGGCAGCAGATTGCAGAAAGGTAGATCTCTGAGTGAATCTGTGATCCTGCAAGCAACTCCATCTGCAGGCTTTGCCTGATTAATAAATAAAAGCTGCTTTTTTAAATAAAAAATTTAATATTTACATAAATATTTACAATATTTACATACAAGCTACACCCAGCCAGACATGTGACCACCAAGCCACGCCCAATCAGCAAGCCATGCCCACATGACCACAAGTCACATGACCACAAGCCATGAATTTGGCCATGCCCACAGAACCGGTTGTTAAGAAATTTGAACCCCGCCTGTGAGGGCAGGGCGAGGAGCAGATGGGATCACCCGACAGGCAGCCGCAGCAGAGGGACGGAAGAGGCTGTGGCTTGCCGACATCCATCCTATGGCCTACTGTGATGGGGCAATAGTGTGCGTGCCCACAGAGAGGGCTCCGCGTGCCATCTCTGGCACCTGTGCCATAGATTCCCCACCAGGGGACGAGGGCAGAAATGGGAAACCTTTTCAGCAGCGAGTGCCCAAACCAGAATGCACATGCATGCGTGCGAGCCGGAGTGCCAGAAAACTGAAGACCAGCTGGCCCGGTGCATGCATGCCTGTTTTGGGGGGCTGTTTTTGGCCATTTTCAAGTTGTTTTTGGCCTGAAAATGACCTGGGTTTTTTTGGCTCTTTTCCATGGTGCTTTTAGGCCATTTTTGGGCCATTTTCCAAGCCTTTTTCAGGCCATTTTGGGGCCCGAGGGCAGTCTGTAAACGGCTTGAAACACCCTGGAAAATGACCCAAGAAACAGCCAAAAAAACTGCCCCAAAACAGCCTAAAAATACCCTGAAAACTGCCCCCAAATGGCCCAAAAACAGCCCAGAAAACAACCAGGAAAATGCCCTGGTTTTGGCCCAAAAATGGCCCAAAGAACAGCCAACTTTTGGGCTGATTTTCAGGCTGTTTTCCAGCACTCTGGTGCCTCTGAAGACAGCTAGCCAACGTACCTGAAACCAGAAGAGTAGCTGGCAATGGTGCTCATGCCGACTGAGAGGGGTCTGCGTGCCACCTCTGGCACCTGTGCCATAGATTCGCCATCACAGGGGTCTTTCCCGTATTCCCATAGGAAGAGAGGCCCCCCTCTTCTCCAAAGCAAAGAAGGAGGGATACGATTCATATTTCTTAACAACCGGTTCTGTGGGCGTGGCCCAATTCATGGGTGTGGCTTGGAGGTCACATGACTGGCTGGGCATGGCTTGTATGTAAATATTGTAATTTTTGTTGAAAAATGAGCAATTTTTACCCAAAATCAAAGCAGGCAGGCAGATTGAGTTGCTCGCAGAATCACAGATTCACTCAGAGATCTACCTTTCTGCCATCTGCTACCTGAGTCTGCACTGAAAAATAGAAGCTTCAATCCTAAGGAAGGTTCAGCTCTGCTCTCAGGCCACTTCTCCCCCCCAGCCCCCTGAATACCACCCCTGATTGGGCCTCAGGAAAACCTCCTGAGTGGGACGGGTGGGGAGGGGAGGGGCCAGCCAGTGATGTGATTTGCCGGTTCTCTGAACTGCGCAGAATCGTAACAACCAGTTCTATAAAACCGTCCCGAACAGGTAGAATCCCACCTCTGATGGAAATCCATCCAGGCGAGGAGCAACTTAAAAGTAAGGAGGGATTTCCTCACAGTGAGGACCATTAACCCATGGAATGCCATGGTAGTTTCTCCCTCACTCACCATGGAAAAATTGAGCGACTGTTGGTCCTGCACAAAACACCACAACACTTGAAATATTGTCCCCTTGATGCTAGGCATGTGGCGTTCTCCTCACCTCCAAACACGGTCAACCCGTAAGCCTCCGAGATGCCTCCTTAACCGTGTCTCCCCCTTTGGCTAAACCAGGTTTGAGAAAGGACGCATCTACACCTACATCGGGGAAGTGGTGGTCTCCATCAACCCATACAAACCTCTGTCACTCTACGGGAAGGACACAATCGAGCATTACCGTGGTCGGGAACTCTATGAGAGGCCGCCTCACCTCTATTCCGTAGCTGATGCAGCCTACAAGGCCATGAAGAGACGGGCCATGGACACCTGTGTGGTCATCTCAGGTAGGGTTTCCCCCACATCTCTCTTTCTCCGTCCGAAAAAAGGGTTGTTACCCAATCGTAACAACCAGCTCAATCTGGAAAGTAGGAGGTTGGCTTGAACGGGAATTACAGAGGCGGGTTCAAGTCAAAATTGGAATGGAGCTGGAAGAGAGCTCAGAGGTCTTCTAGTCCAACTTCCTGCATTAGCAAGAGACCCTTATAGAATAACAAGAGTTGGAAGGGACCTCAGAGGTCATCTAATCCAACCCCATGCTCGAGCAGGAGACCCTTACAAAATAACAAGAGTTGGAAGGGACCACTGAGGTCATCTAGTCCAACCCCCTGCACCAGCAGGAGACCATACCTTATGGAATAACAAGAGTTGGAAGGGACTTCAGAGGTCATCTAGTCCAGGGGTCCCCAACCA